GAGGTTGCTGGGAGTGGTCTGAGTGCCCCAGGTCTTTCCATTTTTTTTTCCATTTTTCTACATGTGTGTAGTAGTAAATTGGACAGTTTAAAGGCCTGGATGTGAACACTGTAACTTGATCATGCTGCTAAATCATTAGCATGATGAACAATTTGGCCAAGGCTGACTAGCACTCTCCCAAATGATTCCTGGGCACGGTTCAGAACTGAGAAGGGCCAGAGATCATTCCCAATATAGAGTGTGAAGGCAGATACCCGGTTTTGGAGGATGACAGAATTTAATTCTGTGATCAGTCTGGGCCAGTTGGCCTCAGGGGAAGAGAAATTACCTACCTCCTTCTTTTACTATGGTAGGTATAGTCTGAGATTCCTGACCTTGGGCAACTTTTGGTTGTGTGGGGCAGGATATCAGTACTACCCACAAAACACAGCCCAGAGCCTTCAATTCCTGGGCTGATGTGCTTTACCATGCTCCTGCAACCCTTTTATATATCAGCATCTTCTTTGTTTCAAACCAGCCTGTTGCCTAAGGCATCCTCCTACACTTTGTGCTGATGATATTCAGAGCCATCTCTATAAATTGAACAGTGCCAAGGCACTGGCATTCTCCTGCAATGGTCCACACTGCTAAATTGTCAGCACGCTCCCCAGCAGTTTTGGCCAAGGCCAACCAGCATGGGTGTACTCACCCTTTTGGAGTGGGAAGAGAAGTTAGCCATATGGGGGTGAGTCTTGCCAGCTGGCCAGGGACAAAGGCAGGTCATTGACCTGTTTTATTTAATGGTATGACCATTATGGACTTTCACTCCGTAATTTCTCTAGACATTTCTGCCACAGCCCTCACTAAGACAGCTAAGCACACTTGGTCATCCGCATGAACCATCATTTTCTGTAGCGCTTAGGCTTTTGTTTTTGGTTTTAGTTTTGGGAGGTTTTTTTGCAATAAGTCTCTCCTTTTCTTACTCATGGAGGTAGCCTGAGGTTCTCCCCAAAGATTATTTGACCACTTTTCTGCAGCCAATCACTTTGGCTCCTTACAAACGTGCTTTGGCGCAGGGACAGCAGTGACTTTGCCCCACACAGTTTGTGTGCTACTGTGATATACGTAGTAAATAAACGTGAGGGTAATTACACCAACAGGAAATCTGGGAACCCTGCCAGAAGGAAGGGAACAGTGAGCCCTCTGTGCGTTAAAAAAAAAAATCAAAAAATCACCCCTTACCCCCTCCTCCAACCCCAAATTAGTTCTGTCTCTTGAAGCCATGATGGGACTTGGAACTAAAAATACACGCACACAGACAAATACACACGCTGGTATATAAAAATAACTAGCGTTCAGAAACTGGAGAGTCCAAAGTTAGGCTCCTGTGTCCAAAATTAAGCTCTTAAATAAATAAATTAGACTGCTTTTCAAAAGCACCGAGCAGTGAATGGCTTTCATTGGCATAAGAGGAAGCATCGTGTTGCTATAGATTGAAGATCAGGCCTGAATATGGATTTGAAAGTCTAATTATAGACTCCTGTTTGTTACTAGCTCGACCGAGAACAACAAATTTCAGGTGAAATGACATTGATTTTTTTTTTTCCTCAGAGTTTGTCTACACTTAACCAGTATTAGTGAAAGTAGGGGAAAAAACCTCAAACAAATAAAATACCCCAAAGAAGGTGCAGATATAATGGAATAAAACTGCTTACACCGGTGCTGTACTTTCCCATTTGAAAATCAGATTAAGTATTAACAGTGTTACAGCTGTGTGAAATTTTATATTGATTAATTAAACAGGTTTTTAGGAGTTGTTAAAAGCCTGCTGGGTAGAAATACTGCTGTTTTCTTGTTACTCTAGCATTTTCTCTGCTGAAAACTGCCTGCCTGACTGGCTCAAGGAGAAATGGGCTGTACTTCTACCCTCCTCTTTTTGTCAGATTTGGGCTTGAAGGATGCTAAAGAGAGAGCAAAAAAAAAAAAAAAATTCTTAGTATGTTGTGCCCTGTCTGAGGGCTGAGTGGCTCACCAGCATGGGCCACCTGGGAGAAGCAGGTTCTGTTCCCAGGTGGGTGCTGCTGATGAGCAGAGCTTGCATGCAGCCCAGATTAGAGCAAACCCCTCCTGGCATGCTCAAAAGGCTGAGTCTTCCCTCTTTTCCAGAGGCAAAAATGCCATGGGTGTTAAGCAAGTGGTGCAGGTTAAAGCTGGGAAGCAGACAGGACCAAGGGAAAGTTCATTTCCCTCCTGCTGTACGTGGTCCTTGGAGCTGTTTTGTTCATTCAGATGGCTGTGATATTTTAGGCCAAAATTATGTCAAGGGTTTCCAGAGGTCACAGTCCTGCTTGGCGACTGGATAGGGACAGATATCTCCGGAGATCTGCCGGATCTTCCAGCATGGATCAGATTGGGCAAGGTAGGGTCTTACTGTATCATGGAAATATATCTGTCTTGGGTGTAGGAACATCAGGAGGCAGAGTGGCACTTCGACTCTTGGGGTTTGTGTTGTGGTGGTTAGAGGCCTCAGTTAGCACTAAGAGATCTAGGTTCTGCTATTCACCTGTTTATAGGACTTGGAGGAGAGCCCTTTTGGCTATCTGTGCCTCGGTTTCCCCATCTTTGGAATGGGGATAATGTAGCTGACTTTCTTCTGTAAAAGGCTTTGGGCTCAACAGCCAAGAGACTTAGGTGTTGTTACTGTTATTGCTGCTGTTCTGGCTGCTGATGGAGACGGGATCCAGGGCATACATTTGTCCAATCCATTTTTACATTCTTTTGTGTGTATGTGAACAAGTTACATCTTCTCTCATTGTGGCCAATTAGATACGAACTTGTTTAAACTGCATGGATGGTGCTGAATCCCTGGAGATCAAAGCGGAAAAAGAAAAAGTCATTGCAGGACATGATATCCCTTCTGTTAGTTTCTTCCCCCTCAATCTTTTTAGGTGGCCCAATGGCAGCAGTGGCATCTGAAGTGCACAGAAAAGCAAAAATGGCCTTAAAAATCACCACGAACTGGAGACAGGTAGGGGGACAACAAGATGGAAAAGCAGAGGTCTGGAAGACATGAGCTATGAGAAGAGACTGAAAGAAAAAGGTTTATTTAGTCTAGAGGAAAGAGAACTGTGGGATTACATGATAACTATGTACAAATAGGTAAAAGACTGCTGTAGAGAGAAAGGGAGTAAATACTCCTGCTCGTCCATGGCTGAAATGATGAGAAATGACCAGCTTAACCTTCAGCAAAGGAATTTAGCTTTCACATGCTAGCATGAATGGGAGTGAGGGCCTGGGAAGCGGGAGAGTCCATGTAAGACTTTTAAGACAGGCTGGGTGAATATCGCTTTCAAGAGGATTTGGTAGAAGTGATGCTGTCTTTGCCAAAATGGACAGCTCCTTATAGGTTCCCTCAGCTTTATTTTTTAGTGGCCCAGTATCTCTGATATTATAAAAAAGCAGTTGCAGGCACCTTTTCTCTGCTTTCTCAAGTTATTACAACTCATTCTCCCCAGCTATGCCTTGCAGGATATATGTCATTAATTTCTTTTCATGCACTCATAGGGGGAAGATGGGTTTCCTGTGTCATATAGCAGGGCATTTAGCAGGTTGCTCCGTGGGCATTTCCACCCAACTCAGGCTCTGCTGGGTCTGTCACACCAATGCCGAGTGTGAGTAATGTAGAAGTTACGTGAGTGTCGAGCTCACTACGTGAATGTCGAGCCCCATCTGGTGGCTTTACTGGGTCATTTCTTGTGTCCTCTGTTCCTTCTTTCGGGATTTTTCATCTGTTGTTGTGAACTTTGAACAGAAAGAAAGGGCAATGAGCTTGTGAAAGGGCAAGGCTTACAGAGCTACCTCTGATTCTCTCCCAGCTCCTGGTCCCCGAGCTTCAGTTTGGGGATAGCGGGGCTATGGAGGCTGTGCAATCTTGCCCTGGGTGTCAAGGAGTGGTCTAATCAGTTTGGCGACACCCTGTTTTGAGGACCTGTGCTGTGAGTCCCTCCCAGTGCCTCCAGAAGGCACTTCATCCCACTTCATGCTGACATCTGAGGTGGGCTAGACAAACAGTCCGGGGAGGGTATGTTTCTCTCCATTAATTAAGTCAGATGACCAACTTTAGGGTCAGCATTAGGTGAAATGATTCCCATCTAGAATTTCAGAGCACAAGGTTACATCTGCTGCTTAGGATAAGGAGAGACCCAACATTAGATCATCCATATTAGCCAGAACTACAGAGGGAGCAGTTAGGAAAGACCTACTTTCTTAAATTCCGTTAGTCCCATGAAATACAGGCAGTTTGTGCTACCCTGACCTCGTCACCTCCCTTTGCAAAGGTTGGCCAGTGAGTAACTCAAAATGAAAAGAGTCCCCAGGATGAGGTTTGCAGGCCCCTCACACACCTGATATGGAAATGGAGCCAGCAGATCTTATGCTGTCTAAGCTCAAGACACTTTTTCTTATGTCAGCACAATCCCAAAGGCTCAATAGCAGGCCGGTGGCAAGTTGTGGCCTTTCACATTCGTAGGTCACACATGTACAGAAGGTGAAGGTGGTCTCTCATTGCTCTGCCTCTGATGAAGTGGGAGTCAAATCACTGGGCTCTTTAAGAGGAGCTCCTCGGGAGAGTGCTGAAGTGGCTTAGATGAGCTGTCGAAGCATAGCCGAGTGCCATGACCAGCATTTGTCAGGTGTCTTCTCCTCTTCCTATCAAGAAAATGAAATGAGGGAATTGCCTTCTTGTGCAAGTGTTTTGTGTGCATTTCCTACTCCCACGCTTCACATTGTAGTTTTGGTGCATGTCAATTTTTTCCCACTCTTGCATCAAAAATCAAAAGTGATTCTCAGATCCTGCGGGAGATGGTATTACAAACAAGGAGACTCCTATGTCCATCCCAGACTCCCTCTCCCCCATACAACTTCCCTCTCCCCATACACTGAACCCACAGCCCCATTCCCCTTGGGATATGATGCATGCCAAAGCCTCACACTTGGCTTTTCCTTCTGTTTGCTGCAGGTATATACGAACCATGTACCTGGGGATCCAGAGTCAGAGGCGGAAGGAACACCAGCGGCGTTTCTACTGGGCTATGATGTACGAATATGCAGACGTAAATATGTTGCGCCTCCTGGAAACTTTCCTGGAGAGCGCCCCTCAACTGGTGCTACAGCTCTGCATAATGATCCAAAAGAACCGTGCAGAAACATTACCATGTAAGTGGTCCCCTCGTCCTTCCCTCCCCACCCTTCCGGCTTCCCCCCTCTGATCCATATGCTCAGCTGCTAATGGAGGTTTTGTTAACCGTCCGTACTTCGCAACCTATTGCATAAGGGGCTGCCACTTTGGACAAATCTCATTCCAGCTCCACACGGCATTCACTTGGTAAATTTCTGCTCGTTCTGCTGAGGAAAAACAATATCAATCAAAATGTGAGATTCAGCTCTTCCAAACCCAATCCGGTCTAGAGAAATGCTGGTATTACTGAGAGTAGTCAGGCATTTTGTATTACTACTGCAAGTTGCCAGCATTCGTTTGCTGCCTGACACTGAGTAAACACAATCCTCCTCTGCCTCAGTTTCCCTCCAAACATATGTGGAATGATAAAATTGGCCAGACTTGGATTTGTGTTGTGAGGTTCAATGCCTGTGCAATGCTCCAATGGTGTAAAGTGTAATAGAAGGGGCTTGGTTTTATAGATAAAGGCTATAGGGCCATTTTTAAAGAGTGCCCAGGAATTAAAGCTTGATCATTGATACCATGATTCTCAACAAGTCCAAGAAAAGAGAAAGGAAAAGCAGTGGAGGGGACTGCATAGTGACAGAGATGTTCTAGTGCAGGTGTCACTGCAAAGATAGCTATGTAGATGAGCAGAGTGCTTGGAAGTGACCAGAGACCACTTTGCCAGTTCTGATGTCCTTTGCTGCAGTGATGTTCTGGAGCGCAGGCATTCAGCCCAGCTACAGTTTGCAGCTGACGGCATATGCTCATGTCCCAGTCCTGGGGTGAACAGCTGTACCAGACTCATGCCCGTTGGCAAGCTGGTGGCCTAAGGGTCACCAGCTTGAGGGGAAATCGTCCTTTCCAAGGACCAACAGTGGTATCAGCTGATGAAATACTGCCTTGTTCAGCCCCTGCTCAATCCATGCACATGGGATAACACTCAGATAATGCTTCCCAAAGACTGCCTGTTTGTGGCATGCCATGTTTGGCATAACTGAGGAGTCTTCTGACAGTGGGATTGGAACTCGGCAGCTCTTCAGGGTTAAATTTGCTTGTTGGACCAAGGTCACCACTATGAGCCTCAGCCAGAGCATCAGTAAGCTTGGACTACTCTCTCTTTCCTCCCAATCTTAGTGTTGTCCATCATGGCTGTTGCTAGAGGCCTCCCTTCTCCTATTTACGCAGTCCTATTCTGAAACCTCTCATCACGAGACCTCCAGACCTCCAAACTGCTGACACAATGATCGCACAGATTTTCTACAAGTCCTGCTAGCACTGCTCGCGTTTGCCAGTACCTTTTTTTCTGCTGTTTCTAACAATTATTATTGACCCTACCAGAAGTATCTAAATCATAACCTAGGAAGCTTGCTGGAGCCTTATGCAGATTGCTAGACTCACTACAGAAAGCACTGAATGAAGTTCGCTGGCCTCTGCTGTTTGGGAAGTCAGACAACATGGCCTGAGAATCCCTCTAGGCTTTAAAAATCTGTGACTGTTTCAGTTTGCCACTTCCAGGCATGACTGCCTAATCCACTGAAAGAGCTGCATCATTTTTCCTCCCTCTTTCAGCTAGCTATGCAGTTCCTTCATTCCTCCACCAAACTGAACAAGCTGTGCTTTCTTCCAAGGCTGCACACATC